GCGTGTGTGTGTGTGTGTGTGTGTGTGTGTGTGTGTGTGTGTGTGTGTGTGTGTGTGTGTGTGTGTGTGTGTGAAAGAGAGAGAGAAAGAGAGATGTCTCGAATGAGAGTATGCCAAGATGTAAGAGAGAGCGCAAGGCAATGAGTATAAATGTGTTTATCGCGCAAGCACATTTTACCAAATAACAATGGAATACTGCATGTCTAGAAATACTCTAGCTCTGTACTGTAGGTATATCAAATTAGATAATTAGCGTAAAAGCAAAATGTCTATGTTTATATAATATAACAAATTCTCGAAATATGGATACTATTAAATAAACGTATATAAAGTTTAACACATCTTATCTGATCATTAACGGCTATTATCTGGCCATTATGTGCGTTTATATAAAGTATCAGAGTTGTTTTCTTCTTTTTTCATGAAAGATCTCTTTTCTTTTTCAATGAACGATTTGCGTTTCCGATTAAAAAACTTTTCGTTCTAAACATCATATGTGTACAAAAGACTTACTCTTACCTTTTACCCCTCATATTATATACACTTTATATTATATATTTACACATTAATTTATATCATAATATAATTTTTGAAATGATTCTTATTTTATATCGCTTTCTCAATGTTTCATATTTTTTTTTTAACAATTGCAAACAAGACAAATTCAAAGACAGTGAATAAAAGATACGATTTTCTTCCATCAAACGTATCGTGCAATGGTAATTTCGTTATGCAATGTACGTACGTATCTACGAGATATGCTTCGTACTTATCATAATCTATGATCTTTCGCCTTTAACCCATATGCATTTTTTATTATCTACGCTAGATATAAATACGATGTTTTCAAATGATTGTTGCAAAATTTAGAAGAAGAAGAATCTTAACAAGATGAAAACTCTCGTATTCTGCATCTGCACTTTAGCGTGCATTGTAAGTAATTATTTCACTACTACTAGTAAATCGATTACAATACGAGCGCAGTGGAAAAAAAACAATTATATACTTATAGTATATACAATTATATACTTAATAGAACAATAGACTTGATGCTTTAATTATAACTAAAGTATGAAAAATACATATCGCAAGAAATATCGATATATGTTTATTATTGACTTATTAATTACTTCTTGCGAAAAGGACATTAATTGAAATAAACTGTAAAATAAAACTACGTATATTTTAGTCTTTTATCTCGACTGAAAGCATCAAAGTAAAATTGCAAAATGCATTATCGTCTACCGATACCGACACCATTGTGGAAATTTGCGCTGCTGAAATTAATATTACTCGTGGTAAGTCATAGCGTTACACAGAACTGCGTCAGCTTTTACTCATTTGCATATTGATCAATTCTGAATTGATATATTTCCCGAATAACTTATTAAACTTTGTATTTCGTCCAAACCCTTCCAAGTCTCATTAGACTGACAGTTCAACATAAAGTAAAAGACGAATGTAAAAGACGTAAACGAATGTAAGACGAAGTAAAAGACGAATGAAATTGGTGAAAACTTGATCAAATATTGTTTAAATGATACATTTCTTTACTTTTTAAAATTGCTGACGCAGAATTTGTTATACCGTCTTAAGTGAAACATACCGTTTATTTTAACATCGTACAACATCTTTCCCAGATGAATTTCTTGGAGAAAGTGATATTATAAATGAGGTATATCTAAAATCTAGCATGGAAGAGAGAAAAAGGAAGAGTGGCTGTTTCATTGAATGTATCCTAAAACGATTGGGCATGGTGTGTTTATTACATATTTTATTACATAATTTATATACTTTGCAATTACATACATAATATCGAATGTGACAAGAATTTTAGTAAGAAACACTTACTAATGTTTTCTTCTCATTTCACATTCGTTGTTGGTACAAGATGGAAGGAAACGAAATTAAGGAAGAGAAAATTCAAAAAGAAGTAACAAAATATATGGTCGAAGATCCTAGAGAAGTCAAACTGCACAAAGTTATTCATGACTGCATTCAAGAAGGTAGATTTATTATATATTTATCATAAATATATAAATAGATACTAATTAATTATTAGTAATTATACAACATTACGAAAGATATTTGTTCGAAAGTTTTGTTGTATCAATTGTTACGTGAATTTTGCAACATTTTGTACAATTACTTCGCGCATATAGTCATATCTCGGTATGAATTTCACAAATATTTGTAAATTATATTTGTGTACATTTTAGTAAAAAATATCACCCATGAATGCGAGAAAGGTTTTGCAATGATGGTGTGCATCGCAAAAGCCACACATCACTTATTTGGACATGAGGAACACACATCAACAACCCCTAATATAAATGAACACACATCAACAACCCCCAATATAAATGAACACATCTAAAAATAAAAAATACTTTTCGTCTATCATATAATTATTGGTGACTATTGATAAGAGTATGATGCAATCTTAATAAAAAGAAATAAATAAATCTTCGTGTCTGCTTTACTCTCGTCCTTGAATTGAATCTTCCATCTTGTTAAAATTATTCTTCTAAGTGCAAGATCGCACAACACCTCACATAGCACAAAAATATTAAAGTAATATTAAACATGACATTAGGGAAAATATTTGAGTAACATTTGTAAACGTGAGAAGAATATTATTCTGATCTTAAAATGTTACTTTCCGGAACATTAAAGAAATGATGCAACCAAATATTAATACAATCAATATTACATTTATTGTTGCTTTGTGCTGGAAATAATATTACTTTTAAAACCATAAAACGTCATTTACTATTAATACGAGCGCGCGTTCGTGCTCGTCACTACGGTA